GGAGCTGGAGACGAGCAGCGCGGATCCAGGGGATCAAAACAGCAGGGACGTCCCCCTTGCTGCGCAAGGGGAAGACCGTGGTGTAGCGCGTGTAGTCGTCAACTACCAGCAGGAAGTACCGCTCGCGGCCCTGCCCCTGGACGCGGGCCGGGCCCCACACGTCCAGGTGGAGTGTCTGCAGTGGAGCCTCTGTGGGAGGGAACGAGGAGGAGTGAGGAGCGGCGCGCTGCCGCCCCTCGACACAAGGAATGCAGGGAGGCGCAGGCGAGGGAGGGAGGGCAGGGAGAGACCTGGGAAGGCCAGAGACCAGGAGGCGAGAGTGCATGCTACGAAGGCGAGGCAGGGAGGGGTGACCAAGGCGGTGGTGCCAAAGGAGAGTGTCGTGGGACAGGCGGCGGCACTCACACTGGGTGGCTACCTGAGCAGACGCGTACAGCTGTGGAGACAAAGGGGTGGAACGTGAAACAGTGGTGAGTGTGTACAGACTAGACCCCGGCTCACGGGTGAACGTGGCCAGGTGGCGGCCAGTCCGAGAGCAGGTGCAGATCGCCACACGCTGTCCGCCAGGAGTCCAGGTGTCAACCCAGTGATCCTGAAGAACAGCGTTGCTCACCAAGTTCGTAGAGAACGAGGGAACATGGAGACCTGACAGCTCACCGGACGGGACCGCCGGGCACGGAAGCACAGTCGAGGCTCGTGCCAGCACTGGGCCCCCAGAGGGGTCAGCCAGTGAGACAGGAACAGGTGCAGGGAGGGGGGTGATTATGGTGCTATCGCGAAAGAAACAGCGCGAAGCACCAGAGTCAAGTGTAAACGTGTGCAAGGCCTGGGTGGGCACAGTACCAGAGAGGGCAGACTCACTAGTACCTAGGGCTGCAGTCTCTATACCTGGGTCAGGCGGCACACACAAGTAACAGTCACCCTCAGCACTAACAGTCAATGCATACATGGCAGCAAGGATTGCATCATAATCAAGATCATAGACAGGTACATCACGCCTAGCAAGATCTGCCCAGTTGGGGAACTCAGTGGCATCAGGGAACTTGGCGCGCCAGGCGTCGCTGAGGCGCGCAAAGCAACGGTACTCAGTGTGGAATCCGTTGCAAGTGCGACCCTTGCGAGGGCCAGAACGAATGACATAGGGGCAACGACCAGAACCCCCAGGCGCCCCACGTCCAGCATACCAGTCATGAAGCTGCTGGGAAGAGGGGGTCTGGCGCTGCGATGGCTGCTGCTGCTGCTGCTGCTGACCAGTCCCACCCCCGCCCCCACCACCTCCACCACCGCCACCTCCTCCTCCCCCCTTACCACCACCACTCCCGGCCCCACTGCCACCCCACCCACCCCCTCCACCCCCGCGACCACCTCCACCCCCCCCACCACCCCCACCGCCTCCACCACCGCTCCCTCCACCCCCGACCCCACCACCCTTGCCACCCTTGCCGCCCCTGCCACCGCCGCGCTTCCCGCTAGGGGCGGAGGCTGCTGCGACCTGCTCAGTGCCAGAGAGGTCAACGGCAGTAGCAGCTGAGGTGTAGGAGGGGGTAAGGGGGGAGGGGGAGCACCCCTCAAAGAGGGGAGTGCGGGGAGTACCTCTAGCGGCGCCGACAGCTAGGATGTTCTTCTCTGCTGCGAGAAGCTGCTGCTTGAAGTCTGCTAGAGTGATCTCTGTGATCATGGCGAGGAAATGGTCCCTGACAACGCTAAGGGTGTCAGGGAGGCGGGTGACGAGGAGATAGAGGGTCCAGTAGAGCGGAGGAGGGTTGGCGGCAAGGAACTCGGCCTTAAGAGCGGCTCGAAAGCGGACGTCACTAGCGCGGAGGTGAGAGATGAGGTCCTCAGCAGTGGAAAAAGAGGACAGGTCGGGGAACAGGTAGGGTAGGATAAGACGGCCTACAGCGGCAGTGGCTGGGGAGGAGTAGCGTGCAACTACAGCGTCGTACAGGGCCTTAGCGGTTTTGTGCTGACTAAAATGCGCGCGCTCAGTGATCGGCAGGTGATTGCGAATAGCGAGGCGTGCAGCAGCATCGCGAGTCTGCCACTGTGAGCGGTCAAGAGCAGGAGCACTGTCAGCAGGAGCAGCGGCAGTGCCAGTAGCGTGATCGAAAAGGGAAACGCCATCTTTGGCATCGGTCAAAAGGAATAACTGCAAATCGTCAAGCCAAGTGGAATACTCAATGGGGCGACCATCAGACTCAAAGGCAAGAACGTTCAGCGTCGCCATGGTAGCAGCGTAGGCAGGCGCTAGGCAGACAGGCAGGCACTAGGCAGGCAGGCAGGCGCTAGGCAGGCAAGCAGGCGCAATAGTGGCGCAATACTAGGCAGACGGGCGGCACTGGCTGCTCGGGCGGCGGGATGAGCCGTGCGCAGGTGAGCGGAGCTCAGGGCGGGCTGCGCGGTCTGCGTGGGCGGTGGGACGGGCCGTGCGCGGGCAGGCGTGGCTCAGGGTGGGCTGCGCTGGCCGTGCGGGCGGCGGTACGGGGTGCGCGCGGGCGGAAATGAGTGCGCGGGGCCGCGGGGCAGGGGAGCGGGCGACGCGCGGGGCTACAGGGCCGCGCGACGGGCCAGGGCAGGGCTCGCGCGGGGCCGCAAGGCAGGGCGACGGGCGGCGCGCGGGTCTGCAGTGCAGCTCGACGGGCCAGGGCAGCAAGCGCGCGGGGCTGCAGGGCAAAGCAACGAGCGGTGCGCGGGGCTGCAGGGCAGCGCGATTCGAAGGCTGTCAGGCTAGGCAGGCGTGGGGTAGCGTGGTAACCGTAGGCAGTAGTTGGTGGGCCCTAAAAAAAAGTCGATCCTGAGGTCCTAGGCAGGGCTAACTTTAGTGCCAGGGCCCGTCTGACGTTAAGACCGGGTCCTGACTCCTTGTCTGATGTTGAGACGAAAGTTGTAGCTCCGTCTTACGTTTCAGACGAATTTCAAGTACTTGTCAGAGCTGTCAGACGGAATATGCCAAACGAATTGGCGAATTTCGTGCCAGCGGGGTGAATACGGCGCAGTGACGTTCGGTGTTGTCACCCACCAGGGTAACGAGGCGGGTGGCAAGTCTCGTCCGTAACATTGGGCAACAAGCCATGTGGCCAACTAGCCGGGTGGGCAACTGGACATGTGGGGGAATTTGTCAGTTTCAGACGGGAAACAACTCGATGTTTGCAGTCTCAGACGAACCGTATAAGGCTGTCTGAGAAATCAGACGAATAAAAAAAGGTTCTCTTAAAAATCAGACGAAATTATTCAGCATGTCTACGACATCAGACGAACCAGTAAAAATGTGTTCAAAATCAAGAAATTCAGACCAAAAATTTCTGATAAAGTAAGCCCTGGTCCTAAGGACCTCCTGCTCTGAATACCATGTGAAAAGTCTAGAGACAGGAATGTGTGACTAAGGATGAGTTTGGGTACAAATGTGAAACCCTAATGGGGTTGTACCCCATATTGGCTACCCCACTACAGCCTACAAACATATAGCACATTTATACTTTGACAACTAGTAGCGCAAACAGTTTCGTGACTGTTCGCGTGACACAGGAAAGTATCGATTTAGTAGTCGACTCGATCAATATATTATTTTGTGAACATGTACATTATCGAAAAGGTGGTTTGCTATACTATAAATCTCTTGTACTTTCCTTTCAATTTTTGTTCTCACATTCGAATATTACAGGAATTCAGAGGCTTCCGCTGCAATAATTCACTAAGAATAAACTCTAAAAGATCCTATGGTTTGTTTTTTTTCAGCCTAGGATGCCATTATATAGTAGTGGTAGTTAAATGTTTTGTGTTATGCGCTTTTGAAACTTCTAAAATCGCTTTGTGCAAACGGTTCCGTTACCACCGAGGTTTCTGTAGGCTCATTGTAGGTTTCAGACTCCCACTCGCAGCATCCTTGCAAGCCGTAGTAGCGCTTATACGTCGAACACTACTTTGAGCGCCACCCGAACTGTCACAGGCGGCAGCCACGGCGCCTAGGGTCGCGCGCATCGTCGAAAAGTGAGGAAGGTGGGGCGCGGCGTAAGGGAAGGCTTCTGAGCGGAGGGAGAGGGCGCCTGCCTCCCGGGGAGGCGAAGGGAGAGAGAGAGTGTGTGTGTGAACAGAGAGAATCTCGAAAAGTGACTCCGATAGGACAGGATTGCTTATGGCGAGGCGCGTTAGCGACTTTTGAGGCGCCTCAAAGTTCGACTGAATTGAATCGCAGTTGGTGAGCCGTGTTGGCGAAGGAGTTGGGTGGGCCGAAAGGCGAGGAGGAGGCGGTGAAAGGAAGAGGCACGACGAGAGGTGGATAGCGGTGGGCGCCATAAGTGGAGGCAAGACTCAAGAGTACAGCCTCTCGTCCCCGCCCTTCCCCTCTCCCCTCACCGTCTCCCGTTAACGCCTTTCCGTCCCTCTCGCTTGATTCATCTCTCCGAAACTCCCGCCCCCTATCCCTCCTCCGTGGCATCCCATCACCCAGCACCTCCCCACAGGCGGCACACTGCGCCAGGTGGCGGACGGTGGACGGCAGGCAGCAGGCTGCAGGCAAAAGGTAGCAGGCGGCAGGCAACAGGGAACGGGCAAACGGCGGCAGGCGGCAGGCGGCAGGCGGCAGGGGGCAGGGGGGCATGGGAGGTGACAGCGACCGCACTGGCAAGGCAAGTGACACACACCGCCTTTGCAGAAGCGGCCATGGCATGGCAAGGCGAGCAGCACTGGCAAGGCGAGCAGCACTGGCAAGGCGAGCAGCACTGGCAAGGCAAGAACTAGCTAGCTCTGACTATCAGAGGTGGATAATCATAATAATCATACTTATTGTTGTACACTGTTGAAATCATTCTCCCATATGCTCCTCTCTCTCTGCGGAATCATATCCCTCTCACCTGCGTGTGCGTGCATGCATGTCGAGTCGATGCGTGTGGTGTGGGTCGCATGTGGATGGAGGCATCCTGGCGGGCATATGCATGTGCATATGCATGTGCATGGCATGGTGATGATGGCATGCTGCGGTGCATGCCGTTGGTGAGTGGTAGCAGGTGCAGGAGCGGTTAGCACGGAGGGTGAAGGATGGGGAGTTCTACGAAGCACAGCAGCTCTATAAGAGCCTCGCTACAAGGTGATTCCACTTACAACGATTCTCTGCAAGTTTATGCACTGCAAGTTGGTTTTCTCTCACTGAAAATCTGCTTAAACAAGCATGCTGCCAGAGCAGCGGTGTAGGATGCTCAAGTCTAAAACGGCCCGATCACATCAGGCGCGTGCATGCAGCTGCACCAGTGCCTGATGATGGTTGTGCCCCTTTCGTTGCCTCCTTCCACCTCCCTTCTCCCTTGGATTTTATCCCTCGCATTTCAAGTATGAGGTTGCCATGGCGCTGCTGCATTGACACGCGTGCAATCGGAGTGGAGCCCGTCCAACAGCTAATCCCACATGTATGCCTCGCAGTTCGAGTACGTGAATGCCATGGCACTGCTGCAGTCAGGGGCGTGCGGATGGGGACTGGCAATGGGTTGCATGAGCTGGCGATTGTTATGCCTCTCTTGCGCCCCCTCACCCTCGTTACAGGTACTCCTCGCAGTTTAAGTATGAAGACGCCATGGCGCTGCTGCAGTCAGGCGCATGCGTACAGTCAGGGGCATACGCTATGGGTAAGGGGCAGAGGCAGAGGCAGGTATCAACTCCCCCCTGGTGATAATCATGCTTCTCAACTCTCCCTCCCACCATCCCCCTCCCACAGGCACTCTTCTCTGTTCAAAGTACAAAGACGCCATCGTGCAGCTGCAGTCAGGGGCATGCATGCACCTGCAGCAGCGGGTGAAGATTGTGCTTCGCGTGCCCAACCTCTCCGCTCCTCCCTCACTTTTGCAGGTACTCCTCGCAGTTCAAGTACGAAGACGCCATGGCACTGCTGCAGTCAGGCGCGTGTGTGCAGCTGGAGCACGGGCAGGTGACGAGTGGCGTGGAGCTGGCTCTGCTGCTCACGGACCTGCTTGTCTCCACTGAGACGCCGTGCTGGGAGGATTCTCTGGGTGAGTGCGACACCAGGCGGCCACCTTGGTTCATGTATCACCCCCACTTTCACACATGCGTGTGTGCGCTCCTGCTCAAGTTCGCCGTGCAGCTCACGGGCCTGATGTCCTGCTCTAAGGCACCCTGCTGGGAGGATTCCCTGGGTGAGTGTGCTGCATCAGTCGCCACCCATCTGCCCCCACTCCGCATCCCATCCTCCTCCCCAGCCCTCCCTCCCCCACAGCTCATCACAGCCGCCCACACCGTCTGCTTCGACTCTCCAGTCGCCCACATCTTCATGCCTAATCCCCCCCTGTCCCCTCCCCTCCTAACCCCTCCCCAGAGCGCATCACCGCAGTGTACATCAGCTTCCCGCGCTCAACCGACCCATCGGGTTTGCTTCCTGGTGAATCCGAGGAGGCGGGCAGGCTCAGAGTGGACGGCTGCAAGCGCTTCCTCAGAGCCGCGCTCAAGTGAGTGCCCTTGTGCATGCCCTTGGTTATGACTCGCAAATGTAAGTCTTGCCTCACCCCATCCAGTCTGCTCCCTGGTAAAACGGAAGAGGCGCAAGCAGGAAGGCACTTACACTCGTGGCTCTCAGAGTGGGCCGGTGCAAGCAGTTCCGCAGAGCTGCACTCCGGCAGCGTGGGTTGCAGACAGATGAAAAGACAACTGGGGGGAATCTCTAGCGGAGTTGCCTTGCCTTGCGTCTAGCGGAGTTGCGTTGCCCGGAATGTCAAACAAACTGGTAGATTGGATCTTTTGGGTGATTGCGCACGAAAGCGTGAAGTTGGGGTTTTGTGTAAGACATCCAACCCATGACAGCACCGTTGCACTGCCCTGTGTTATAAGGGCAGGACCAGCACAGGTTGTGATTGTAGCCTAGCCCTTACATTCTCCTCTCGTCCACCCCCCTCCCTCTCCCCCTCACAACGTGGTCAGCCCAGTTCCCGGAAATGCTCCCAGCCCCATCCAGGCCCCATGCAGGCAAACTCAACCCTCTCCTCACCCTCCTCGCCCACGTCCCCCTCCTCACCCTCTCCCCCCAACCCTTTCTCCCTGTCCCCCCTCCCCATCACCAGGTGGTCCGCCCAGTTCCCTGAAATGCTCTCTGCCCCATCCAGCCCGCAGGCGAATTCAACACCCCCCGTGCCCTCGTCCCCCTACTTCCCCCCTCCCTGTCGCCCCACTTTCCCACACCAGGTGGTCGGCTCAATACCCTGAGATGCTCTCAGCCCCATCCAGCCCGCAGGCGCAAGCAAAGCCCTCCTCGCCCACAGCGTCATCCCCTGCCGCCCTGGCGTCCCTGGGGTCGCCGGCCATCCACCTCATGCTCGCCCAGTGCCTGTCCTCCCAGCTGCCTCCACACAAACGGGTCTGTGCTTCGTAGTCCTCTTTTGCTCCCCTCCATGCACCCAATGCTGCCCCCATGCTGCTCCCCTGCCATCCATCGCGTGCTTACCCGCCACTGACTCTCCTCCCAGCTGCCTCCGCACAAAAGGGTAAGTCCTTTTCCCTCTCTTCTTCTACCATCTTTTTGTCTCTGTTTTGGCCTCCAACATCCTCTCACCATCACATTTGCCTCACCGCCATCCCTCCCTCTTCGCCATACCATGTGTGCCACTGCCTGGCCATGTCTCTCCTTCATCGGGTCAGGGCATATGCCACACAAACTCCGCCCGCCCCATGTCCTTCCTCAAACTCCTGGACTGCCTTGAAGCTCCCACGCACAGGCCACACTCAACATGTCCTGCGGTGGCTTTTGGGTCCTTTCAGAAGTCACCTTGCTATGCTACTACATCTTTACTTCACTCCTGTCATTCCTGTAACGCGAATGCGTTCCGTGGCATAAAGTTCATGGCCATTATAGGTGGACCCTGCTGCGATGTAAATGTCTTATCAATCATCTGCATCACCATGATCAGCACTCTTCCAGTCTCCCTTCCTCCCATGCAGGACTATGCAGCGGCGTTCTTCCATTTTGTGTACTCAGACGACCCCACCCTCTTTGCTCACAGCCTGGCTGCATACGCACGCCAGGTAACGACAGGGGTGTGTTCACATCACATCACATCACATCACATCACATCACATCACATCACATCACATCACATCACATCACATCACATCACATCACATCACATCACATGTGGCCGGTGTGCCTGCACACAGCTTGCAATGATGCGATACTGCACACAGCTTGCAATGGTGCGATACTGCACACAGCTTGCAATCATGTGATACTGCACACAGCTTGCAATGATGCGATACTGCACACAGCTTGCAATCATGCGATACTGCACACAGCTTGCAATGGTGCGATACTGCACACAGCTTGCAATCATGCGATACTGCACACAGCTTGCAATGGTGCGATACTGCACACAGCTTGCAATCATGTGATACTGCACACAGCTTGCAATGATGCGATACTGCACACAGCTTGCAATCATGCGATACTGCACACAGCTTGCAATCATGTGATACTGCACACAGCTTGCAATCATGCGATACTGCACACAGCTTGCAATCATGTGATACTGCACACAGCTTGCAATGGTGCGATACTGCCTTCATGATGTCTCCAAGTTGGGTTTCCCAAACTTCTTCAATGTCTCTTTCCACCTTCGTTCTTTTCGTTGCTCGTGATCGCTCTTAGGACGCGGTACAAGTGCAAATCGATCCCGACAATCGATTGGTCAGGTCGTTTGGCGAAACGATGCGCTTACCAGGTTGTAACCATGTTCCACCACCGAGATTGTGGACCTGCCTGCGACGCGGGCACTGTAAAACCAGGGGTCGCACAAGCACACCTGCGACAGTCGACTCGAATTTCTGGTTGGGCTCCGAATTTCTGGTTTGCTCTCAGGTTGCGCGACTCAAATTTCCGACTGTGCGAAAAATCAGCGCCTCGCAGGCATCCGAATCAATCGGGCCTGGTGCACTCGGTTCGTGGGCATCAGATGCGCATCACAAATCGGGGGCGATCGGTGATCAGTTGCAATCTCTCGCTGTGGAGATTTTTTGGCCAAAAACCGAACTGTAGCAAGGTCACAAGACAATAAACAGGGTAACCAATCCGCACATCGATCGCGACTGACGATCGATCGTCTACTTTCACCGCGTCCTTATTCGCTCGTGCCTACCTTCCCTAAACCCTTCCGTCATCCTGCCTTCAGTCTTTCTCTAAGTTCTTCCTTGTCGCTGCACTGTGATGCAACCTTTGCGATAGGGATTTGGCCTCTTTTTTTTAGCGTCTACAAAACCTCATTTCTTGTCCCTCTGATTGCTTCCTTGCGTTGCGCTGCGTGCGCTCTGCAGTGCTACCTCGGTGAGAGGGATCTCGTCATTGCCAGGGCTGTCCTCCAGTAAGTGCTGTCCCTTGCAATAGTGTTTGTCTAGAATGGAATAGATTTCACTGCTTAAGGCTCTATGTGTGATGTCCATCGCATCGCCGCCTATGTGTGATGTCCATCGCACCACCGCCTATGTGTGATGTGCATCGCACCACCGCCTTCTCAGTCTCTCGTTTGAAATCAGCATGTCAGTGAATGAATGGATTGGCAGCATGCCGTAATCAACACATAGAGAAACCTAGAGGAGGTTCTAGATAAAAAATGGGTAATGACCAGACTCTCATGTTTGGGGTCTGCCATCTCTCGTTAGAGACTCAAATTTACCACATTTTAGGCTATTTCGCGCGCTCTTTTGATTATTCTCTCATCTCCCCTTTCTCCTCTCACCTCTCCATATTCCTCGCTCCTTCAAGTCCTCAAAGCAGTAACAGTGTTTAGCAGCTCATCCCATTTCCCCATAACATGCCTCTGCTTGTCGCCTTCCTCGCATCACCCCTGCCCCCCCCCCTTCCCAGGTGTTGGGCAGGTCTTTGGACCATTTCTCGCCCATGCCCCCCCTCGCCCATGCCCCCCCTCACCCATGCCTCGTCTTGCCCGTGCACCCTTTCGGCCATGGCCCCCCTCGTCCAGGTGTTTGGCGGCAGGGCGACTGCAGCAGGGCAAGCAGCTGTGGGAGAGGCTCAAGACGCAGCAGGCAGCCATATGGGCAGCAGACGACACTGCTGCCGATGCTGCTGACGATGGTGCTGCAGCTGATCGTGCTGATACTGCTGCTGGTGACAGTGGTGCTGTTACTGGTGCATGCAGTGCGGCTGCCACAGAGGGCAGGTGGCAGGAGTCTCCCCTCTTGCGCTTCATTCACCTCCTCCTCACCGCGTAAGCCTTCCCACCCCACTCCACCTGCTCCCACCGCCCCACGTGCATGTTTTTCTCTCTCAGGTCGCCTGAAGCTGTTGTTCTTGAGCGAAGCAAACAGTCTCAGGCTGCTGTCTCATCTGCTTTAACATTCTCTTAAGCACTCCCCCCTCCCTTTCCCCTCATCCCTCACTCACCGCCATGCAGAGCTTGTTGCAGGGCACCACGTTGCTGTCTCAACTCATCTACTTCTTTTCCCTGCCTCAAAACTCTCTCCTCTCCCCCTCCCGTCAATCCCGCGCCGCCGTGCGTACAGAGCTGACCGCAGGGCGCCACCAATGCTGTCTCATCTGCGCCGCCGCTATGATCTGTCCATTCAACGCGACCCCGCCTTCCCTCCAGTACGTCCCTCCAGGGGTCCCTGCTCCTCAATCACTCACACATCTTCTCCTCATTTCAACAATCCCTGCTCCTACGAAGATAGTTGTTGGAGTGGGATTAGGGAAGGTCATTGTGCGGGATTGAGTCGTGGCGTTGATATTATACAGTGCATTGTATCACCCTGTGTCGAACATGCATTAGCCGTTCGACACTGGCTATACAAAGTATATTATTACTCAACACTCATTCGTATTCGATTCGGATTCGGCAGTATTCGAATCGTATACGTATTCGGTTTTCAGTAAGTATTCGAATACGATTCGAATTCGGTTTTGGGCTAGTATTCGGTCAATTAAGAAACCACCCAGTATTCGGAGAATATACAGGAAAAATATTCGTATTCGTATTCGTTTGTACAGGCTTACGTGTGTCCTCCTCATTTCAGAAGCTCCCTCACCTTGCTCTCACTCCCTTGAGCTTCCCTCCCTCTCGTCCCTCACTTCGCTGGCCGTTCCTATCCCCTTTTCTCTGCGGCCCTGCAATGGCCCTTTCCCCTTGGCACTGCTCATTGGCACTCTCTGCTAGAACCTGCAGCCTCGTTGCACCTTACACCTCCGCCTTTGAAAAACGTGCATATTTTTTCAACCCACCCCACCCTTCCGTCCCTGCTCGAAACTGTGCAATCAAATTCAACTAGCACTGGTCTCGCCTCCACAGGTGCTAGGCGACATTTCCTTGCACCTCTTTGGAGTGCCACAGCCTTTTGAGTCCGTTTGCTCAGAAGTCACCCTTTCTGTGCATTCAACCCTCTCTGGTTGGCCTCGCCCCCAACAGCTGGTAGACAACATTGCCTTCCGGCTCTTTGGAGTGCCGCGGCCCGCAGCAGCACCCAACTTCCTAACAGACATGCTTAAGGTGAGGCGTGCTTATAGTGAGACATGCTCGAGGTGAGACGTGCCTAAGGCGAGACATGCTGAAAGTAAGACGTGCTTAAGGTGAGGCATCCTAAGATGAGGTATACTCAATGATTCTCACAGGATGACGCGACTTCACTTTGAGGGGGCCAAGGGAAGAGAAGCAGGTACAGTGGGAGGAGCAGGTACAGTGGGAGGAGCAGGTACAGTGGGAGGAGCAGGTACAGTGGGAGGTGCAGGTACAGTGGGAGGAGCAGGTACAGTGGGAGGTGCAGGCACAGTGGGAGGTGCAGGTACAGTGGGAGGTGCAGGTACAGTGGGAGGTGCAGGTACAGTGGGAGGTGCATGTACAGTGGGAGGTGCATGTACAGTGGGAGGTGCAGGCATGGAGATAGGTGCAGGCATGGAGATAGGTGCAGGCATGGAGATAGGTGCAGGCATGGAGATAGGTGCAGGCATGGAGATAGGTGCAGGCATGGAGATAGGTGCAGGCATGGAGATAGGTGCAGGCATGGAGATAGGTGCAGGCATGGAGATAGGTGCAGGCATGGAGATAGGTGCAGGCATGGCAGGGAAGGACGTGATTTGCATGATTACTGTCGTAGGTGGGGGAAGCACTCTCACGATGAATGGACGTGCATCAGCATTCTGACGATGAATGGACGTGCATCAGCATTCTGACGATGAATGGACGTGCATCAGCATTCTGACGATGAATGGACGTGCATCAGCATTCTGACGATGAATGGACGTGCATCACACCCCCACGCTGAATGGACGTGCATCACACCCCCACGCTGAATGGACGTGCATCACACCCCCACGCTTTCACATGATGTGTCTTTTGCATGTCTCCGTCTCCATCTCCTGTCTCCTGCATCCCCTTCTCTGCCCTCTCTGATGCTGCATGTGCAGCTTGCGATGGGAGAGGAGACACCAGCATAGCTGCTGGTAAATCCAATCCTCTTGTAGAGTGTGACTTTGTTTTAGTATCATGATGGTATGTCCTACTGTGCAACCATCTTACCGTACCATATTAGTGATTCGTCCAATTGTCAAATACGGTATTCCAAAAAATGTCGCAGGGGATCAAGGTGTGTTGTTTCAAAGAGATTTACAACATATATGAGGGAGGGTAATTTCTATGACAAATTCCTTTTTTTTATCGACAAAAGGTGGAGAGCTTTCAAGAAAACACATTGGACATAACTTTGGGCATTTTACTCGGTAGCTTTTTGCTATCATTCTGCAACGCATGGCACAGAATCAAGCCTTTAGGGTGGGCACTGGGAACACCTTCAATGCACAACCCTCGTCAGCAAGCAATGCCACCTCTCTAAATCTGTCATCTGTCACCATGCGCCACCCAGCCAGTCCGTACCGTACCATCAGCCAGTCCGTACCGTACCATCAGCCAGTCCGTACCGTTACCGTACCATCAGCCAGTCCGTACCGTACCATCAGCCAGTCCGTACCGTACCATCAGTCAATCTGCATGCACATCAGCACCGTGTGTCATTGCTCGGCCTTGCTCTTCTTTTTCTTCTTGGGCTTCTTCACGGCATCAGCCAATGTGAGTGGCTCCTCCTTCACCCTGCTCCCTGCACCTCCTGCTGCCGCTGCTGCTGATGCTCTGGGCGCATCTTCTTCACCTGTCCCAGCAGGTGGCACGGCTCGGGCGGCAGGGGCCTTGGAGGCAGGCACGTGTGGGGCAGCAGTGGATGGTAGCAGGTCAGCTATGGCGTCTAATTCCGATCCCAGGCGGGCTGGGGTGGCATGGGGAGGGGAGGGGAGGGGAGATGCAAGTGGTTGATGGGGAGGGGAAGGCAGGGGGGTGTGGTTTTGAGTCGACTCTTTAGTCACCTCGGATGGCAGCAGATCGGCAACGGCGTCCAGCTCTGATCCCAGACAGGCTGGGGTGGCGCGGTGAGGGGAGGGGCGAATGGGGTGAGAGTAAACTTTGTCTCAACCTCAAAATTGCTTTCGCACGACTGCAGGTGGCCGATGGCGCCCAGCTCTGATCCCAGATGGGCTGGGGTGGTGCGGGGAGAGGGGCTGGCAGACGGGGAGGGGAGGGGTGATGGGGAGTGGAGAAGGGGTTGATTCGGTGGAGAGGGGAGACAATGGGAGTGGGTGTGAGTGAGACATGGGGAGTGTGTATGATTGTGCGGCGATTCAGGTAATGTGATTGGACACACGGAAACTCAGCAGACAGCAAGAGAAGGGAGGGTGCGGAGGACGGGAGGAGGATGAGAGAAGGATGAGAGGAGGATGAGAGAAGGACGAGAGGAGGATGAGAGGAGGACGAGGGGCGGATGAGACGAGGCGTCACCTGCTTTTGCCCCCTTCTTGCTCTTCTTCTCGTCACCCTCCTCTTGCAACCTGTGTCCCATGAACCAACACACAAGGAGGCGCGCAGACGAGACATGAAGGCAAGCAGCGGACGTCATGAGCACAGAGCAACAAGGTAGCTGAGAGCACGGCATCAAGAGCACTTCCATGCCCATCACGTATACCCTAGCACCCGTGCCCATGAGTGAAAGCCCATTGCACATGCACGCCCATGCCCTGCGGGAAGCACAAGGGCGGCTAGAAGAAAGAGAGAGAGCTCACCATGACGACACGCCTCCTTCAAATAGAGCATCCACACCGCCTCCAGCTGCTCCTCCTCGCCCCTTGTCCCCTCCGCCCTCCTCTTCTTCCTCCTCATCACCATCCTCCCCATCGCTTGATCCCTCCTCCTCCTCCTCCCCCTCCTCCTCCTCCTCCTCCTCCTCCTCCTCCTCCTCCTCCTCCTCCTCCTCCTCCTCCTCCTCTCCATCTTCCTCCATCTTCTCGTCCTTCACCCCACCCCCTCCACCATCCCCACCCGCCTGCCCTTGCCGCACGCCCCTTCCTTTCTTCTGAACAGCGGCAATTTCCGCCACACCAATCACCCCGGAATTCGACCCCACTGCTGCAGTGTCCAATCCCGCTGCTGCAGCACTAGCAGCTGCAGCAGGGAAGGCGTGTCGCTTCACCTTGCGCCTCTGCCTCTCGGCTGCCAGCGCTGCCACCTGGTGGGCCACAGAGAGCAAGACGCGGGTGGTGGGGGACGAGGGGATGGCAGGGCGATGGTGGCAAGCAGGGCGATGAGTGGCAAGTGTTAGAATATCTCTCCTCTTGTAACCTGCATATATGCTATAGGATAGGCTAGAGTTAAGCACCCAAACTTAGTTTGGGTGTACAAGCAGGGGTTACCCAATTTGTAGGTTGGAAACCCAACCTTGGTCCAATTATTGGACCCCAAAGGTTGGGTTGGGTAGAATTATTGGTCCCCTCCAATAATGTTGGCCCAACCCCAACTTGGCCAACATTATTGGACCCCACCAATAATCTCCCAACCCAACTTCTTGGTTGGGGTCCAATAATGCTCACCTAGGCTAGTATCCAACTCACTCCCTATGCATACCCCCATCCTTCTCAATCCAACCATCAACTTCATTCCTAACTCTTCTTCTCACAGCAAGCAGGGCGATGAGTGGCAAGCAGGGCGATGAGTGGCAAGCAGGGCGAAGAGTGGCAAGCAGGGCGATGAGTGGCAAGCAGGGCGATGAGTGGCAAGCAGGGCGATGAGTGGCAAGCAGGGCGATGAGTGGCAAGCAGGGCGATGAGTGGCAAGCAGGGCGATGAGTGGCAAGCAGGGCGATGAGTGGCAAGCAGGGCGATGAGTGGCAAGCAGGGCGATGAGTGGCAAGCAGGGCGATGAGTGGCAAGCAGGGCGATGCTGGCTTTTGGATGCCTGCAGGCTGCAGTGCTCTTGTATCTGTGCTGTTATTCCTCCACGCTTAAGCAGCAAGCAACGCCACTGGCTTTTGGGGCACCTCACAAACAATCAATGGCAATGGGCATGTCACAAACAATCAATGGCAATGGGCATGTCACAAACAATCAATGGCAATGGGCATGTCACAAGCAATCAATGGCAATGGGCATGTCACCTACCTTGCCCCCCCTGTGTTGCTTCATCATGTGCTGAACCACAGAGGAAGCGACAAGTGGGCACCACCGTAACCCACAGTCAATGCATTCCTCCAAGTGGGCCCCATTTAGGTGCCATGACTTTACGTGGCAGCAACTATGTTGTTTAGGTAAAACTTATAAGTGTAAAAAAGGTGCTTGCTTGCAGACCTTGTGAGAAAAATTTTGATGGTTACCGGTTTCGGCATACAGCCTTCTTCAGACCAATTTAAGCCTTCTGCATACCATCTCGTGCCATGCACCTTATTCCTCACCATCTCGTGCCATGCACCTTATTCCTCACCATCTCGTGCCATGCACCTTATTCCTCACCATCTCGTGCCATGCACCTTATTCCTCACCACCTCGTGCCATGCACCTTATTCCTCACCACCTCGTGCCATGCACCTTATTCCTCACCATCTCGTGCCATGCACCTTATTCCTCACCACCTCGTGCCATGCACCTTATTCCTCACCACCTCGTGCCATGCACCTTATTCCTCACCACCTCGTGCCATGCACCTTATTCCTCACCACCTCGTGCCATGCACCTTATTCCTCACCACCTCGTGCCATGCACCTTATTCCTCACCACCTCGTGCCATGCACCTTATTCCTCACCATCTCGTGCCATGCACCTTATTCCTCACCATCTCGTGCCATGCACCTTATTCCTCACCATCTCGTGCCATGCACCTTATTCCTCACCATCTCGTGCCATGCACCTTATTCCTCACCACCTCGTGCCATGCACCTTATTCCTCACCACCTCGTGCCATGCACCTTATTCCTCAGCAGCTTGTCAGAGCCTTGCCCACCCTATTCCACCTTTTCAGTGAGCGTTTTGATCATGTGCTGGGCGACCGAGGCAGCAACGCGGCAGCAGTGCATGAGGTGGGGAGCTACACACTCCCTCCCCCTTTCCCCCCTTGCGCACTGCCCACTGCAAGCGCCATCTCCACTACAAACCTTACCCCTCAGAACCTTGTTCCCACCTTATCCGTTAGCGTTTTGATCATGTGTTGAGCGACAGAGGCAGCAACGCGGCAGCAGCGCATGAGCTGGGGGAGAGAGACGCCCACACCCCCGCCCTTCTGTACGCTGCACACATCCCCCACCGCATTCACCAGCACCGTGCAGCGCCCCGCCTGTGCTGCCTCCTCCTTGAAACTCGGATCCATGACCTGCCATGGGAGGGAGGGGTGCACAGGGGCTAGATCGGTATGAGCTTGGGGGTAGCACGCCCACATCCCCGCCCTTCAGAACGCTGCACTCATCCCCCACCGCGTTCCCCAGCACTGTGCACCGCCCCGCCTGCGCCGATTCCTCCTTGAAACTCGGATCCATCACGTGGGGGGGAATGGTTGGTTGGAGGTTGGTGGTTGGAGACACAGGGGTTTCTGCACGCTGCACACATCCCCCGCCACATTCACCAGCACTGTGCACTGTCCTGCATGTCCTGCCCCCTCCTTGAAAGCTGGGTCCATGCCCTGGGGTGGGATGGTGGGAGGCGGGCGAGGCACCTGGATTAGGTTGCTGTACGAGCTGGCGTGGTAACGTAACATCTCCCCCCCCCCCCACCGACCCAACGCACCATGTAACACGCTCACACACTTCCTTGGGCGCGCAGCACAACCATTCCTCCCACCCACGCATGCATGAACGCATGCACGTATTGCCAGCTGCAACCGCATGCATGCCCCCAAGAGGATTCTGCCCACATGATAGGTTCTATTCCACCGGAGCTTCGTGTTGTGCGTTAGGCACGAGCTGTGTGCTTGCTTGCCCACTGCGCTGAACTGCAATGAATAAAACGCTCACCCTGGGTGGCATTGCGTGTATAAACACACGTGGGGTGGGGGAGCCCAATTCGTTGTGCATGCTTGGCGGCTCCGGCTCGCCCCCCCACGTGTGTTCTGCTGGCTTAGATGCCCGGCAGCGGGACAGCGAGGGGGCAGGTCCGTTGAACACGGTACTGATGCAACCAACCAACCCTGACGTCATTTTTCCACGTGGCAATGCTAGAATGAAGAATGCGAAGTGACTTTTGAGTCGACTCAAAAGTCAACTTTTTCCACGTGGCAATGCTAGAATGAAGAATGCGAAGGTGACCGCAAGGGGCAGGTAGGTTGTGCACGGTGCACCGTGGCACACCGTGGCACACGGCACGGAGTGAAGTGAATGCACCATGGCTAGGCCGGGCAAAAGGCGCCCTCCTCTTACCCTTGGCCCCCTCGCATTGCATCCACTTGGCATTGGCACGCCCCTGACTCACCACGTCGTTGCCGTCGTTGAAGAAGGCAAAGGTGACTGCCAGGGGCAGGTTGTGCACCGTTAGGGGTATGGGGTCGCGCTCCTGGGGGTTGAAGTGAAGTGATGAGAGGGAAGCAGGGCGGTGGAGTGTGGGAAGAAAGCGAAGGTGACGTCTAGGGGCAAATTGTGCGCCGTCAGTGGTATGGGCTCCCGCTCTTGCTGTGCGGGGAGGAAGGGGTGCGAGACAGGGGGACACGACCGAGGAAGCACAGGGGTGGTGGAGGGTGCGAATAAGAAGGTGAAGGTGCCCCCCCACATGGCAGGCTGTGTACTGTGAGTCGTAAGGGAAGGCGCTCCTGGGGGGGGGAGGGGAGTGAAGTGGGGAAGAGAGGGAGCGAGACAGAGAGGATGGCTGTGCGTGTGCGCGTGCGCATTACGGGGTCACCGTCATGCTCCTGCAAGGGAAGAAGAGGGATGAGGACGGACGCGCACGAGAGAGATGAGCATGGAAGACACCATGGACGCACTGCAAGGTGTAAGGGTATGTCGCAGTCACTTTTGAGAGTCCTCACAAATGACAGAGTGGGGTATGGTATGGGGTTGCACTCCTGCAGGAGGGTGGAGTGGCGAGGAGGGATGGCAAGAGGGAGGGAAGAAGGGAGGAGGACGGGAGGCGAGATTATGCGGAGGGGTGAGTAGTGATTGAGCGCAGGGAGGAGTGCAGGGAGGAGTGCAGGGAGGAGTGCAGGGAGGAGATGGCGCAGTGTGGGCGAGTGAGTGTACGAGCTGTGGTGTGGAAACCTGTCTCCCCACACCTCTCCAGTGCACTGCATGTTTGTGACCAGATGACCCGCAGAGAGCCAAGCGAAGGATGGAGTAGAGGGCAACGGTTGTGTGAAGGTGACCCGCTCACCTCCACTGAGTGCACCACCACTTGCATGCCATCGTCCCCCCCCACTGTCACTTCTGGCCGGCGGAACGCCAGCAGCGCCGCTACGGCAGCTAAACAGCATGCGTCCACCAGGTTGCTGGAGAGTGGGGAAGGAGGAAAGACGGAGAGAGGGAGGAGGGCGGAATGCGGTACAGAATGGGTAATGGTGGAACGCTTGCCGCACAACAGCCTTCCACCAGGTTGCTGGAGTTCAGGACGCCAAGGAACGGAAGAGGAAATGGAGGAACGGGGGTGGTAGGTTGGGAGACTGGGGGGGAGGTACAGATGGAATGGAATGGAATGGTTGCTGGGCAGCACAACACACCGAATTGGGGGAAATGGAGGGAGGATCGGATATGTGGAGGGCCTAGAGTAGGCTTGGGCATTGGCCCGACCCGACCCGACCCGACCCGTTTGGGGCTACCCGAGGGCGGGTTCGGGTCGGGTCGGGTACACCCGACCCCGGGTATTTAGGGTCAGGGTGTATACCCGACCCGCCTTGTACACCTCGGGTATTTAGAACCCGAGGTCGGGTCGGGTATACCCGTTATGGATTATGTTCTGTAATTTGTATGCTTAGTTTCTATACCTGCTTTAGGATTACATTTGTCGGGTAACACATACCCGACATTGGACACCCGGGTCGGGTACCGGGTATTAAAATACCCGAGCGGGTATACACTACCCGACCCGCACGGGTAGTCACTTCGAATATAGGAACCCGACCCGACTAAAAAGTCGGGTCGGGTCGGGTTACCCGACCCGTCCGGGTAAAATGCCCAAGCCTAGCCTAGAGAAGGCGGTTTTTGAGTGGAGGGGCTGCTGCTTCTGGATACTTGTGGCCGGCGGAATGGCAGCACCACTGGCAGCACCACTGGCAGCACCACTGGCAGCACCACTGGCAGCGCTGCCAGACAGCACGCGCCCACGAGGTTGCTGGGAAGAGACGTGGGCGAGGCACAAGGGGGGTGCGGGGTTCACAGGGATTGGGTTCGCGTTTGAGGTGGGGACACACACACACACACACACACACACACACACACACACACACACAAGCAGCACGCACGCACCCAACGTTGTCCATGACACGGATATCCAGCCTGAGTGAGCCTCTAAAGCACCACACACTCACACACACTCACCCACACACACACACACACACACACACACACACACACACACACACACACACACACACAAGCAGCACGCACGCACCCAACGTTGTCCATGACACGGATATCCAGCCTGAGTGAGCCTCTAAAGCACCACACACTCACACACACTCACCCACACACTCACACTCACCCCCACACACACACACATGGTAACACGCACCCATCATTGTCCATGACTCGAATGTCCAGCCTGAGCGCCCACGCTGCCCTCCCCGCCACCACACACAGCGACTCCGTGTCCACTGCATGGCTCTCCCTGTGCGTGTGGGGAGTGGTGGCGTGGTGTGGAAGGGAAGGGACACACAGCAACCAACAATTAAGGGCACACAACACGCGCCACCACACACAGCGACTCCGTGTCCACTGCATGGCTCTCCTTGAGTGGTGTGGTGGGTGGGGATGCGGATAGGAGGAGAGGAGCGCACAGACACACAGGCAAGGGTCAAGGATGCAACACAGAATGCCATTCCACCACACACAGTGACACTGTGTCCACTGCATCGCTCTCCCTGTGTGGAGGGTTTGGTGGTGTGGTATGACTCTGTATGGGGCCAAGAGGAACACAAGCAAACGGTCAACGCATGGCTCTCCCTGCTGGGGGTGGAGTGGAGACCAGAGAGACAATCGTGTGAAGGGGACAATGTTTGACAACCAGCGGCGCTGTATGGCCAGCAGGGATTCACCAAGCACGGTGAGGCAGCAGGGATGGGAAGGAGAGTAAGGAAGACAGCCAACAGTGATGGGATGGATGCAACCCAACGCAACAACCAATGCTGCCACACACAGCAAATTCAAGTCCCACGCTTGACTCTCAAACGGTCCTTAGTAGTATTGGAGAAGGGAAGGTACAGACGCACAGAATCTCCATTGCCGTGTGCTGGTGGGGATAGCAAAGAGAAGCTCAAGGTCTTACATCACAGAGGCACCTCGACTCGGTCTTACATCACAGAGGCACCTCGACTCCACCTCAGGGGTACTGCTGTTGTGGCGCCATGCCATCACGTCTGACCCTCCTGCTGGTTCCCTTGTCGTTCTCTCACTCCCACCACAAGGCGTTCCTATACTCTCCATGTTCGCATCCTTGCTTTCCATCCATCCATTCCACCCACCACGCCTGATGAGGTCACCACCCATGGACGGCCCCTACCCTGCTGCCGACACGCATGCCCACGCCCATGACCGTACCTGAGAGGCGAGTCTTCTGCACCATCCTCACCTGAGCCCGCGGTCAATGATGCGACCCAGCTCTATTGCATCCTCCCCCGGGCGCCCCGGCACGAAGCGCGGGTCAGCCATGGGGGCGAGCTCTGTGAAGACGGCCAGGGAGCCCTCGTTGGGGCGGTCGGGGAAGGGCAGCGTGAGGGCGGCTGACACGGACGCCAGGACCCGCGTGCTTCCCAGCTGTACCTCTGCCGTGCCGTCGTCCCTGGTAGAGGGGCGATGGGGGATGGATGGGGGAAGGAGCAGAGCAGGAGAGAGAGAGATGAGGGGAAGGGCAGCGTGAGGGCGGCTGACACGGACGCCAGGACCCGCGTGCAGCCCAGCTGCACCTCCGCCGTGCCGTCGTCCCTGGTAGAGGGGCGATGGGGTAAGGAGAGGGAGAAAGGGATGAGTGGAAGGGCATTGCGTGTTGCCCCCCCTGCTGCACCTGCGTGCTGCAACCTCCGCCAGAGAGTTTCGGAAGGCAGGGTTTGGGGGAAGAGGGTTTGGGGGAAGGGGAAAAGGGTTTGGGGGAGAAGGGTGTGGGGAAGAGAACATGGGAGGAAGGGCTTTGGGGAGAAGAGGGTTCAATATTGAAGGCCCCCGGACAGGCGGATGACGCGGGAGCAGGCGGATGACGCGGGAGCAGGCGGATGACGCGGGAGCAGGCGGATGACGCGGGAGCAGGCGCTTGGAGAGGCATGCGGGGCGGGAGAATATGCAAGCGGCGGGAGGCAGGTCTCGTTGGGGAGAGCGCGCCATGGCAGCGACGCTCGCATGGGCAATGGAGGGCGAAGGATGCTGGAGAACGGGAGCACAAGCGGGGGTAGCGGCCGCCATGAAGGCGGGCGGCATTACGGTGGGCGGTATGAAGGTGGCCAGGAGCGCGAGATTGAGGTGGTGATAGACGCGAGAGCGGGGCTGGGGTGTGCATGCAACATGAAAAAGGCAGTCGAAGGTTTTCAGACTGCGAACAGATGCGCTTGACAAGGTACGATGCGCTGCCGGCTTACACGCCGAGTTCGTCAATAGCTCTCACTCGAATCTATACCGTGAATGGGTTGAGCCTATATCGAGTACAGTGGCTACCTGCCAAAAGAGACGTCCCATGATCGATAATCGAAGGGCTTGCGGCCATCGACGCGCAGCTCGTCGCGCACAGCCGCGAGAATGAAGTCACACTCGTTCGCTGACACCGTCGCCACTGCCCCCTTGGCGACTCCCATTGCGACGTGCTGCGACTGTCGCTGGCCTCTTCCTCACCCTGCCTATAAAAATTAATAACCTAAACGCAGCACGAAACTTGCGCTTTGCTTCTGAACGGCACGAATCGCGTATATTCGTGTCTAAAATCTCAACTTTCTCTGCGAAATTTAGGGCAGTCCGAAGAAAGCGCACTCGCGACCTACCCTACCCAACCGTCCTAGCAAAAATGGACCACTCTTGATCGTACAAAAAATAAACCGCATTCGGACGTAATCTCCAGTCACGCGTACGGTGCTTAATATCACGAGTGTAGGGAGTTACAAATATTCGGTTTCGGTTCGTTCGTGAACATTACAAGCAATTAACTTTGCTACATGCGAAAGCTGAAACGACTCCCTTTGACCCTGCGCGACTACTCGCGAAATTTTTCGTAGAACTGTTCGAAGGCGGATTCGCACCTTTCGCGGTGTGCGACGGACACACCGATCGAATCCAACACGGTGTTACGAAACCCGAAATGCGGGCTGCGAAGAAGCTATTTGATCCCTCAAGACCGGTTTACGTCACCATGAAGCATGAGCAATTTGTCGTAATCCCCAACCAATATGCACAGCAGAAAGAGTGACTTGTATCGAGGACAGCGAGTGACCTGTATCGTGGCCAAACCGTAACAACCGTCGAGGATAACACGGAAAAGCTGCTCCCCGCTCGTTAATCTCACCATGTTCACTCTAAAAGTCCACGCTGACGTGGACGCAAACACCCAGACCAGTACCGGAGCCGCCGTCAGCTCTTACAGTGACGCGGTTCGTCGTTCTATTAACGGGGCCACGCTTAACGCCAGTAGTAGCACCTCGCCGGCGTCAGATGCGGAGACGCTGACACCTGGCCAACGGCCAGGCGAACTCGAAGGTGAAATTCGCGAAGCTGAGGACCCCGGGGCGGGTGACAACGCGCGAGGTGACAATAACGAGTGCATCCCGTTCTCGTCCGGCAATCCCAAGGTGGAATCGACGCGCGGCGTGATTCACCTCTACCGGAACACCGCGGAAAGCCCCGGCTCGCTGCAAAACCTGCCGGTACGAGCCGTTGGGTGACCCGCATAAGGGGGTGGGGGATGGGGGGAAGAGGGGGATGGGGGGAAGTGGGGGATGGGGGGAAGAGGGGGAGGTAGGACTTTTCCTTGGGGAGGAGGGAGCAAGGAGACTGGTGCACGGGTGTGACTGGCCGTTTGCAGCAGGGGTGCAGCCTGTGTGCGGGAACGACGCACTTACCTTGCCTGTGTTGACTCGTGCCGTCTGCTGTTAGCCCATGTTGCCTCTTCTTCACTTTTCCACTCACATGTCTCCCCATGTCTCCCCATGTCTCCCCATGTCTCCCCATGTCTCCCCATGTCTCCCCATGTCTCCCCATGTCTCCCCATGTCTCCCCTCCCCTCTCTCTCACCCACTCACGCCACGCCACACCACGCCCCCTTACCAGCCTGACCGTGGGGTAAAACTATGCGTGCTGGGCTGGCAGTGCCCACGTACATGACACGCGCTGACTTCTGCCAGTTCACCAGCGCACGTGCTGTTCCCCATGTCCTGTCCCCTGGTCCCCTTCCCTCGTGCTCACCTATCAGCCTGACCAGGGGGTCGAACTGACAGTCTTGGAATGGTGGTGGTGGTTCCCTTCGTCCCATATTTTCCTTTTCCCATGCTCACTTATCAGCCCGACAGGGGTGTGGAGCTGTGTGTACTAGCAGTGCCAACGTACATGACAGGTGCTGACTTCTGCCAGTTCACTGGCGCACTGCTTGGGGCCATCGAGAGCATGCGCATCGTCAGGTGCGGTGCAGAGGGGTGAGGAGGTGCGTGGTGGTGGCCATGAAGAGCATGCGCATCGTCAGGTGGGGTAAGGTGAGGAGGTGAGGCGAGGTGAGGAGGTGTTAAGTGAGGCACGTAATGGTGGCCATGAAGAGCAGGCGCCATGTCTATTGCTGATGTGGTTACCACATGGGGTGTTGGTGCTATGGGTAGGGGTGGGGGGTGATGGGGGGGTGAGAGGAGAGGGGTTGTAATTGTGGAGGAGAGTGCTATACACACCATGGAGTCGCAAACCAGGCAGGTGCTTCATGGCCATTCTTCATTTCTGTTGCACTGCACACTGCCCATCTGTTGGCTCGTTCTCAACCCACCAGGAACGACAGCCTATCAGAGCGCTACATGGTGCTGCTGTGAATGAAGTCATTTTTCCTCCCTGCTTCTGCTGCTGCCCCATGCCCGCCGCACTGCGCTCTGTGAACCGCAACACCAGGAATGATAGCCTATCAGAGCGCTACATGGTGCTGATGCGAATGAAGTCCCAAGAGGCAGCAGATGGCTTCTTCCGGCAGTTCAACAACAAACCATTCTCCTCCATGGAGGTGCGCCTACTCTCCCCCTCGCTCTCCTCCATGGAGGTACACCACAATCTTCACAACTCTCAATGTGCAAACGTGTTGACTCGTGATGCCTCACTGCTCACTACTCCTCCACACCCAAATAAGGAAATCATCCCAGAACGTTCCTTCTAATCACATGCGCTCCACTTGTTTCCAATGGTTGTGATTGCGCTCTCGTAGCGGTTTTTAATTCCTCTCCAATGCTTATTGCCTAACACAAGGCGAAATTCCCTCCTTTTTTGCCGCTGGGGTTGGCTTTTTTGCTTTCTTTGTGTTTTTGCGGCGCCTTTGTGTTTTTTTCTTTATGTTTTTGCGGCATATTTTAGGCCGCCTTTCCTCCTTGTCCGCCATCCCCTGGCCTTCTCAACACCCCCCTGTCGTCCCATCTCCCCCCCCTGCCCTCCCCCAACCCTCCTGTCTGTCCCCTCCAACCCGCCTGCCCTCCCATCCCCACCTCTCCCCCATGTAACTGTCAGAGCGAGTTGTGCCGGGTGCTCTTCACGAATTAGGTGCTGGTGACGGGGTCGCAGGAGGAGGCAGCCACGCCCCCTGCCGGCCTCACGGAGCTGCCCTCCTGCCCCGTCTGCCTTGGTAAGCCACAGAGCATCGGCGCCCAGATTCGGGCACATACGTGGGATGGGATTCACTTGAAATTTTTGAAATTGTGACCTTGGAAATTCGGGGCCGTACGTGGGATGTACTTGATAGTCCTGATCCGCTTTCCTTGAAATTTTGCTTTGCCCGGACTCGGCTGGCTGACATCGATGTGCAACCGCTCTCTCCCCCCTTCATCTCCCCCTTTGGTTTCTCAATACCTGCTCATCTTGCCCTTCCTCCTTCCACTCCGCCCCTCTTCTTTAGAGCACTTGGATCGGCACATAAGCAGCATTCTGACAACTGTGTGCAACCACCCACTCCTTCCACTCAACCCCTCTTGTTCCTCCATCCCCCCCCCCCTCTCCCCAACCCTCCCCACTCACACAAATCCCCATGCTGCTGGCGAGTGGCAGAGCGGCTGGATCGGCACATCAGTGGCGTCCTCACCACCGTGTGCAACCACTCCTTCCACTCCTCCTGCATCTCCAAGTGGACCGACTCCTCCTGCCCTGTGCGTGCTCCTCCTGCCCTGTGCGTGCTCCTCCTGCCCTGTGCGTGCTCCTCCTGCCCTGTGCGTGCTCTTCCTGCCCTGTGCGTGCTCCTCCTGCCCTGTGCGTGCTCCTCCTGCCCTGTGCGTGCTCCTCCTGCCCTGTGCGTGCTCCTCCTGCCCTGTGCGTGCTCCTCCTGCCCTGTGCGTGCTCCTCCTGCCCTGTGCGTGCTCCTCCTGCCCTGTGCGTGCTCCTCCTGCCCTGTGCGTGCTCCTCCTGCCCTGTGCGTGCTCCTCCTGCCCTGTGCGTGCTCCTCCTGCCCTGTGCGTGCTCCTCCTGCCCTGTGCGTGCTCCTCCTGCCCTGTGCGTGCTCCTCCTGCCCTGTGCGTGCTCCTCCTGCCCTGTGCGTGCTCCTCCTGCCCTGTGCGTGCTCCTCCTGCCCTGTGCGTGCTCCTCCTGCCCTGTGCGTGCTCCTCCTGCCCTGTGCGTGCTCCTCCTGCCCTGTGCGTGCTCCTCCTGCCCTGTGCGTGCTCCTCCTGCCCTGTGCGTGCTCCTCCTGCCCTGTGCGTGCTCCTCCTGCCCTGTGCGTGCTCCTCCTGCCCTGTGCGTGCTCCTCCTGCCCTGTGCGTGCTCCTCCTGCCCTGTGCGTGCTCCTCCTGCCCTGTGCGTGCTCCTCCTGCCCTGTGCGTGCTCCTCCTGCCCTGTGCGTGCTCCTCCTGCCCTGTGCGTGCTCCTCCTGCCCTGTGCGTGCTCCTCCTGCCCTGTGCGTGCTCCTCCTGCCCTGTGCGTGCTCCTCCTGCCCTGTGCGTGCTCCTCCTGCCCCTCGCTGCCTGCCCCTCGCCTATGTTGGAAAAGTCGCGCCCAGCGTATTATACGCAAGCGTATATACGCTTGCGTATAATACGGGATGCGCAGAATGGGCGACTCAAGAATACGTGAAAATTACGCTGCCCGGGCAGGTAAAACTTTTTTTCCGGTCAGGCGGGACTAGAAACCTCATTAGTCGCACTCGCGGGAGTGCCAGTGCCAGTAGGGGGCGTCATCGTAGAGCTGCGAGGTGATCGAGAGAACTGGAGAAAGAGCATTACGACGTGACTGATGAGATGTTTTAGGGTTGGGAGGGATTACATTTTTGTCCTCGATGAGAGGTGAGGTAGGCTGGTTGGAGACATTTGTGTGGCTGAGTTGGAGTTGCGGGGTAACGGACGGTGCAATGCGGTTGATTTGAATACCCCCTTGCCAAATTTGTGTGTTGGGTGGGGTCGACGAATTGTGATGTTGCGAACAATTTGATGTCGCGACGCATTTTCCAATTTTGTGCGCGAACTTTTTCTCTTTCTTTTTTTGGCCGGGCAGCCCGGATTTTTCCGAACGAATGTACGTGCGTATTGCGTACAGCGTATATTCGTCTACGTCTATACGCTGTACGCATGCCCAGGCTGGCGACTTTTCCAACATAGCCCCTCGCTGCCTGCCCCTCGCTGCCTGCCCCTCGCTGCCTGCTCCCCTCCTGCATGTCGCAGCGAGCCCACTCCCCCCGCCCTGTGCACACCCCTTCTTCCCAACGCCCCTCGTCTGCTGCCACTCGCCCCCAGGCAGGCAGGCAGGTGTATCGCCGCTGCCAGCACCCATCAGACGCGTGTCAAGGTGCCTTGAAAGTCTAGATTCACTTCACTGTATCTATCCGCTCTTCTCCCCTTGCTTGCTCCCATCCGCCCCCTCACCTGCTGCCACTCGTCCTCAGGTGTGCCGCGTCGCCACTGCCAGTCAGCAGCGTAGTGAAGGTGCAGCAGTCAGCAGCCATCACACAAGTTCTCACACTCTGAGCCTTCCACCTTCACTTTCCCCCTTCACTTTCCCCCTTCCCTTTCCCCCTTCCCTTTCCCCCCCCTCCCCCCGCAACCCCCACCACCTGCAGGTGTGTCGCTACTGCCAGCAGCCATCAGACAAGTCGCAGTGTGCGGTGTGCGGCTCACACGACAGCCTCTGGATTTGCCTCATCTGCGGCTTTGTGGGGTGCGGCCGGTGAGTGCTGTCTTGCTTGCATGCTTGTGTTCTTGCATGCTTGCGTTCTTGCGTCCTTCGGTGCTGCTGTGGCGTGCTGCTGTGGGTTATGGAGAGACTGGCGGTGCCCTAGGGCGACTGTGCAGTTCGCTCTGTATTCACAAAGACACACAGCCTCTGCATCTGCCTCATCTGCCACGTTGTGTGGTGTGGGCGGTGACAGCTTGCTTGCTTGCTGGTGGGATGGTGTGGGGGACTGGCTGTGCTTTTGTGCGACTGTGAAGTGTGCTGTGTGCGGCTCACGACATTCTCTGGATCATCTGCCTCGTCTCGTCTCCCTTCCCCTTCCTTCCCACCCATCCGCACTTGAGAGCGTCACAGCACTGCCACGCGCTGGAGGTGACAACTCGCAGCAACGTGAAAGTAACCTTGTTCCGCGCACGACCTTCTTCCCATCTCCCAAACCCCCCGCCACCACTCCTCTTCCCCCCCCCTCAGGTACCAAGGGGGCCACGCGGAGTCGCACTTCCGCGCCTCGCAGCACTGCTACTCGCTGGAGGTGGCGTCGCAGCGCGTGTGGGACTATGTGGGCGACGCCTTCGTGCACCGCCTCGTGCTCTCCAAGACCGACGGCAAACTCGTTGAGCTCCCCGCCCCTGGGGACCTGGGCGCTGGGGGACGGGGCGGAGGGGCAGGGGGAGGCGAAGGGGGAGGGGGAGGAGGTGGGGGAGATGGGGGAGATGGGCGTGGGGGAGGGCTGGGCGGGGCGGGTGGTGCTAGGGAGGGGAATGGTGGAGGGGGGAAAGAGAAAGGGGGGAGTGGCGGAGTGGGGAGTGCGGGGAGAGGGGGAGGGGGGGAGGAGGGGCAGTGTGAAGTGGGGCCCGGGGGCAGCTGCAGCAACCAGCACCATCGCCACGGGGGAGATGAGGAATTCGCCCAGGCAGTCATGAACAGTAAACTAGAATCGGTAAGTTGCAAGTTGACTTAGAAAAAGGGATGGGGTGAGGAGGGGGGGGAGGGGAGGTTAGGGGAGGGTCACCAGCAGCACCATCGCCATGGGGGAGATGAGGAGTTTGCCCAGGCCGTGATGAACAGTAAACTGGAATCGGTAAATTTTTAGTCAACTTAGAAAAAGGGGAACGCAAAGGGGGCAGGGGCGGCAGCCTGCAGCCACCAGCACCAGTTTACCCATGCCGTGATGAACAGTAAATTGGAACAGTAGTAAGGCACTGTGGCAGGCAGCGAGTGCAAGGATGGTCGTTCCAGCATTGACTTTGTTGTAGTGCATCAACGATGGTGCGCACTTTGCATGGGCGTCAGAAAGTAACCTCGCTACAATCACTAATAAACGCCCACCCATCACACACGAGGTGACTTTGAGGTTGTTGCATTGGCTCCAAAAACCTTCAGAAACCGATGCATTGAGTGCTCGCATTACAGTAAGATGACTCGATCACAAGCACACCGTTTGTGATGGTTGGGAGTGGTAAGTGCCCACTTCACACGCCCACCCATCACACACGCTGGGAAAGGGTCCTTGTGTCTGCTGCAGCAAAGGCATTTGAAGCATACCCTGCAGGATCTTTGCTGGTGTCTGTTGCAATGAGGCATTGCGACAGAGAGCGCCTGCCAAGGCGTGTGTTTTGATGGTGCAAGGGAGGGGTGCGCAATCAAAGCATCCACACTACCTTCCCATCACAATCTGGATGCTTCCCCACCTCACTGCGCGCTCTCCTAGCCTCCTCCTTCGAGTTTCTCAGCTCCTCCTCCTGCGTCGCCAATGCCTCGCGTAACTGTGCCTCGATCCGCTGGCTGTTCTCAAACTTCCCCATCAAAACACATGCCTTGGCAGACGCTCCCTGTCGCAATGCCTCTTTTTGAAAAATAGAGCCACTGAAAAATAGAGCCATAAGATGCAGTATTCACATCTCAGATGCCAGAAATGAGGCAATCTCCTCGCGTTGTAGAATATCGTGCACTTTCGTGTTTCCCCGTGTCTCCATGAAGAGCCGTTGTGTCTCTGCTTGCATGAGTCAAAGTCCGTGTTCAGGAGAGTGGAAATGGTTGCACGCGTTGTTGAGTGCGCGACTACACTCGAAATCACAGAGGATGCATGTCCACACTTCCGCGTAGGCTTGAGCAAACGGCTTGGCCGGGTCGGGTCAAGGTTCTCTTGAGCCTGGCCCGGCCGGGTCGAGTCAATTCGGCCCGGCCTAAAACCTGACCCGACATCCGAAATTGGGTCGGGTTGGGTCAGGTTGTAACCCAACCCCATAATGGGTCACACACAGGGTAACCGGGTTGGGTTTAGACCTGACCTGATTTCGACAGTAGGGACCTGATTTTATTTGAGTGCCCTAAGAAGTGTAGAATGTTAGACTCTCGAACCCTATCTACAGAGGCATGTGCTAGTTGACTATGTGCAGTGCAGAGGCTCAATGTCAAGAGATCTTTAAATGTTGAGAGGGGGGATTAAGAATTGTAGATGCAGTGCGGTAAAGAATGGTGAGCAGTGGCGAATTGGTTGGATAGTTGTTCTAACACATTTGTTGGAAACGAGGGAGTGCCTGGGCTGAGTAATTTACAGGCAAAATCCCGATCTCCAGATCAGCCAGCGAAATTGGCAATCTGCACAGTTACGCCAACGAAATCGCCCACTTGCGCTTGTTGGCAGGCGAAAAACCAACCAAAACCCGCCTGAGAAACCCGCCTGGCCCGGCCATATCAGGTCGGGTCTGGTCAGGCCTGTTGCTCATGTCTACTTCCACGTCGTTTTCTTCTCACATTCTCCTTGCACCCTCATCATCCCCCGTTTCTTCTCACATTCTCCTTGCACCCTCGTTCCCCCCCCCCCCCCCCTCATTTCTCCCCCCAGGTGGCCTATGAGTACACTCACCTGCTCACCACGCAGTTGGACTCACAACGACTGGTAACCCCACTCCCAACCTTTAACTCTTCTCATTTATATAATTGTTCCTGTTCTCAGGGGGGGGCAAATACCTGATTCCAGGTTCTAGCCCCCTCACTGCACGTATGTGCATAGTGTTTTCACACACACACATGTTTTCTTACTTTAGGCACCCAAACTTACAACAAGTTGAACTCCAACTGTGTGCGGTATTGACTGAACCGATGGAGGACAATTTTGGTCAACCTCGAACCAGTCAGGTCCCAGTTCAAATTGAATCGATTCGAATTTGGTCCGACCGCCTGGCATGTTCTAAGCAGTTCAGGTCGAACATTGTGTGCATGCCTAAAAGAATGGAAGACTTTTATTGTATGGTAAAGACACAGAAAAAATAGATAACAGGTGACATGAATGGTCCCAATTGAAAGTTGGCATTGAAACAACAGCAGACGACTGGACTGGGGGAAAAGAGGACGGATGGCAGATGGCCAATGTGAGGCGGCTGATTTAAAGTCTTGTGAGGCGACTGAAAATCGACGACACGCCACAAAAGACTCAGTGAAATTACATCGCTGTTGCCACTATGAAACGACAGATAGGAGAGGAGTGAAGACCGCTTACATTTCATCGCTGTTGTCACCATGACTTTGCATGTGTGTGTTTCACACTCCCACCCTGTCCCTGCCCGCTCGTCTTCCATCCCCCATCCTCTCCCTGCACGTGCATGCACGCAATACTTGGAGGGCTTCCTGGCAGCACAAGTGGGGTGAGGAGTGCACACTTCTGAAGTACCACAATCTTTAGTCCTTTTCACCCCCCTTCCCATCTGCATGCGCACCTCACCCCTGCATGCACATGCACGCAGTACTTTGAGGGGCTGTTAGCAGCAGCCAAGGCCGAGAGGGACGAGGCGGTGGCGGCAGCAGAGGCTGCGAGGGAGAGTGTGAAGGTGCAGAAGCTGCAGTCGCGATTGGAGCGCGCCGAGCAGGAAAAGGAGTTTCTGAGGCAGGTCAGTAGTTTTGGTTTGTAACAGCTTTTGTGATACAGGTATGTATGAGACAGGTATGTATGAGACAGGTATGTATGAGACAGGTATGTGGTAAAGCCATGGTTTGAGGTTCTGCAACAGAGGAAGGGAGGGAGAGTGTGAAGGTGCAGAAGCTGCAGTCCCTGCTGAAGCGCGCCGAGCAGGAAAAGGAGTTCCTGCGACAGGTGAGGCATCGTCCTGGTTTGAAGCAGTTGAGTGACCCAGGCTGGTTTGGGCCAGGTAGGTGCTCCTACTTTGAGGCAGGTGAGTGGTCAATTCCTGCTCTTTCTTTGAGGCAGGTGAGTGGTCAACTCCTGCTCCTGCTTTGAGGCAGGTGAGTGGTCAACTCCTGCTCCTGCTTTGAGGCAGGTGAGTGGTCAACTCCTGCTCTTGCTTTGAGGCAGGTGAGTGGTCAACTCCTGCTCTTGCTTTGAGGCAGGTGAGTGGTCAACTCCTGCTCTTGCTTTGAGGAAGGTGAGTGGTCAACTCCTGCTCTTGCTTTGAGGCAGGTGAGTGGTCAACTCCTGCTCCTGCTTTGAGGCAGGTGAGTGGTCAACTCCTGCTCTTGCTTTGAGGCAGGTGAGTGGTCAACTCCTGCTCTTGCTTTGAGGCAGGTGAGTGGTCAACTCCTGCTCTTGCTTTGAGGCAGGTGAGTGGTCAACTCCTGCTCTTGCTTTGAGGCAGGTGAGTGGTCAACTCCTGCTCTTGCTTTGAGGCAGGTGAGTGGTCAACTCCTGCTCTTGCTTTGAGGCAGGTGAGTGGTCAACTCCTGCTCTTGCTTTGAGGCAGGTGAGTGGTCAACTCCTGCTCCTGCTTTGAGGCAGGTGAGTGGTCAACTCCTGCTCCTGCTTTGAGGCAGGTGAGTGGTCAATTCCTGCTCTTGCTTTGAGGCAGGTGAGTGGTCAACTCCTGCTCTTGCTTTGAGGCAGGTGAGTGGTCAACTCCTGCTCTTGCTTTGAGGCAGGTGAGTGGTCAACTCCTGCTCTTGCTTTGAGGCAGGTGAGTGGTCAACTCCTGCTCTTGCTTTGAGGCAGGTGAGTGGTCAACTCCTGCTCTTGCTTTGAGGCAGGTGAGTGGTCAACTCCTGCTCCTGCTTTGAGGCAGGTGAGTGGTCAACTCCTGCTCTTGCTTTGAGGCAGGTGAGTGGTCAATTCCTGCTCTTGCTTTGAGGCAGGTGAGTGGTCAACTCCTGCTCTTGCTTTGAGGCAGGTGAGTGGTCAACTCCTGTTCTTGCTTTGAGGCAGGTGAGTGGTCAACTCCTGCTCTTGCTTTGAGGCAGGTGAGTGGTCAACTCCTGCTCTTGCTTTGAGGCAGGTGAGTGGTCAACTCCTGCTCTTGCTTTGAGGCAGGTGAGTGGTCAACTCCTGCTCTTGCTTTGAGGCAGGTGAGTGGTCAACTCCTGCTCTTGCTTTGAGGCAGGTGAGTGGTCAACTCCTGCTCTTGCTTTGAGGCAGGTGAGTGGTCAACTCCTGCTCTTGCTTTGAGGCAGGTGAGTGGTCAACTCCTGCTCTTGCTTTGAGGCAGGTGAGTGGTCAACTCCTGCTCCTGCTTTGAGGCAGGTGAATGGTCAACTCCTGCTCTTGCTTTGAGGCAGGTTGATATGGGTTGGCATCACATGGAATAGGTTTGGGATCTGGTCAGACGGGTTGCATTGGGTGCCTTGCTCGTCACACCGCATCCAACCCAACCCATGGCTTCTGCGAGGCTTGTGCAAGCGGTTGAGTTCTCTGCTGGTGAAGAACCAAACAGAGGCGGCAGACGGAGTGCAGGCAGGCTTTCATGCCGCCCTCCCCTGCCATTTCTCACGGAAGTGCCGGAGAAATGGGCCTCTCGGTTACCCGTGCAGTAGTTGTCACTATCCGTGCAGTAGCTGTCACTCTCCGTGCAGTTGCTGTTACTCTCCATGCAGTAGCTGTCACTCTCCATGCAGTAGCTGTCACTCTCTGTGCAGTAGCTGTCACTCTCCGTGCAGCAGTTGTCACTCTCCGTGCAGTAGCTGTCACTCTCCGTGCAGTAGCTGTCACTCTCCGTGCAGTAGCTGTCACTCTCCGTGCAGTAGCTGTCACTCTCTGTGCAGTAGCTGTCACTCTCCGTGCTGCTCAATCAGTTGAAACCCCTGTGTGCCTGTCGTGTGCCGGCAGGTGAACGACTCGCTGATCAAGAACCAGAAGCAGTGGCAGGAGCGGTTCAAGCAGCAGGAGGAGAGGTGAAAAGGAGGTGGCAGGGGTTTCGGGAAGGATGAGTGGGGCGTGGCGTGAGGGATATCGTCTGAGGGGGGATTGTGTTGGAGGGGGATTTGGAATCGTGGGATGTGTGGCGTGAATGGGGAGTTCATCAAGTAGTATGCGGGTGGGGTGTGTGGGGCCCGCGTTCCGTAGCAGCGATTTTTTAGACGTCTCAAAAATAGGTGTGCAGCTGGGTTGTGTGAGTGGGACCCACCTTGTGTGGCGGCATGAGCGGGTGGATCATGTGCATCTCGAGCCATGTTGCCTGCGTCTCCCACGCCTCTTGCACTCTAATTCCACCCCGCTGCTGCTCAAAGTTTCCCATTGTGTGAGCCTCGCCTCACAGTGTTGCCTCGCTCATTGTGTGGAGGGGAGATCACTTTCTGCCCGAGTATCTTCATTCTGCTACATTGCCTTCATTCGTTGCGTTTGCCTGACCTGACTGATTTCACGTCGCTGCCCCTCTCTCGGTGTTGCTGTGGGCCTGTCAGGGAGAAGGCAGCAGTGGCTGCACGGGATGACAAGATCAAAGACCTGGAGGAGCAGGTGAGAGGAGAGGAGCAGGGGAGAGGAGAGGAGCAGGGGAGAGGAGAGGAGTGCTTGATTGGGCGTGGGACAGAGGACCAAGTGAGAGGGCGGTGAGGCAGACGAGCTGTTGAGGAGGCAATGGCATTTTTTACCTGGTTCTGACTGAAATCGATGTTGCCTTTTCAGACACACTCATTATCAAGGGTTAGAAATCGCTTACTTGAACCCCCCACGTCCACTCCCCTTCCCCCTCAGGTGCGGGATCTGATGGTGTTCATAGAGGCACAGAAGATCGTGGAGCGCGAGGGGGGAGCAGGAACAGCAGAGGGCATCAGGGAGGGCACTGTCGTGGCTGTGGGTGGGACGCCTGGTGGTGGGGAGAAAGGGGCAGGCAGGGCGAGGGGGCGGCATGGGAAGAGGCGATGATGCTGCTTGTGGGATGTGCGGACAAGGAGAGAAGCGGTGTGAGGGATGTAGCGGTGTGAGGGATGTAGCGGTGTGAGGGATGTAGCGGTGTGAGGGATGTAGCGGGGGCAGCAGAGGGCATGAGGGAGGGCATTGTGGTGGCTGTGGGGGGGGCGCCTGGTGGTGGAGAGAGAGGGGCAGGCAGAGCGCGGAGGCGGCATGGGAAGAGGCGCTGATGCAACACCCATGCAACACGAATTTGAGCCGTCTCGGAAATGGGAAGAGGCGATGATGTACCGTAACGCTTTCGCAGTGCCACGTCCCGATGGGCGCGCATGCCACGCAGCGGGGTATTTGGGATTGTGCTACAGAGGCGAGGTTAGTGTGCATACACCTTGATGCCGTCCGTGAAACGAGGCCATGATGCTGCTGGTGTGATGAGCAGATGAGGAGAAAAGTGATATTTGGGACCTCCTCCTGAGGGCGTCAGAGGAAGGAGCTTCTTGTTGGCCTTGCGATTGTTGACTTGGTGATACCGTGTCACACACGAGAGATACTTGTGCGGTTCCCTGTTTGTGTACAGTTATGCATGCTTGTACAATTAGATTACTGGTGCTGCCATTGCCACCAAATCACGGGATGCTGAACAATGAGCTAAACAATGAATGTACCGAATACACTTCAGGACCCTGTACACAGTGCTCTACTATTCACGGTCAGCCTACTCCCTTTTTTATTGTACACGGAAATGGGAGTGGGGTCTCTGCCGATGTAAATGCTCCCTGCATTCAGGTACGCCCCCCCCCCTGCACTGCCTGCGGGCTCAGCACCCCCTCCCTCCACACTGGAATTTACTAGTCAGCCTGAGGCTCCCTCTTCTGCTTGTACGCGTGAATGGGAGTGGGGTCTCGGCCGATGTCCTTGCTGCCTGCATTCAGGTACGGCCCTCGCTGCACTGCCTGCGGGCTCAGCACCCCCTCCCTCCACACTGGAATTTACTAGTCAGCCTGAGGCTCCCTCTTCTGCTTGTACGCGTGAATGGGAGTGGGGTCTCGGCCGATGTCCTTGCTGCCTGCATTCAGGTACGGCCCTCGCTGCACTGCCTGTGGGCTCAGCGCCCCCTCCCTCCACACTGGAATTTACTAGTCAGCCTGAGGCTCCCTCTTCTGCTTGTACGCGTGAATGGGAGTGGGGTCTCGGCCGATGTCCTTGCTGCCTGCGTTCAGGTACGGCCCTCGCTGCACTGCCTGTGGGCTCAGCGCCCCCTCCCTCTCCACCAGGGGCTGCGAATGGAAGCGGCTGGGGAGGAGAGGACGGGAGGGCAGGGGAGGGAGGGAAGGGAGGGGAGGGAGACGGGAGGGGAGGGGGGGATGGCGCTCAGAATCAGAATGGTGTGGGGAAACTAGACTCTCCATGCGCTGCCTGCAGGCTCAGCGCGCCCTCCCTCTCCACCAGGGGCTGCGAGTGGAAGCGGCTGGGGAGAGAAGGGGACGGGAGGGCAGAGAGGGGAGGGAGGCGAGGGAGACGAGAGGGGAGGGGGAGATGGTGCTCAGAGAGGAAATAATGCCTGGATTCGCTGAGGGGAACGAGCCTCTCTGTATTCTGCCTGCGGGCTCAACGCCCCCTCCCTCTCCAGCAGCAGCGCGAGTGAAAGCGGCTGAGGGGGAGCCAAGAAGGCAAGAGAGGGAGGGAGGGGAAGGGGGGGAGTAGGGGGGAGGGAAAGGGGGGGTGTAGGGGGGAGGGAAAGGGGGGGGAGTAGGGGGGAGGGAAAGGGGGGGTGTAGGGGGGAGGGAAAGGGGGGGTGTAGGGGGGAGGGAAAGGGGGGGGAGTAGGGGGGAGGGAAAGGGGGGGGAGTAGTGGGGAGGGAAAGGGGGGGGAGTAGGGGAGGGAAAGGGGGGGGAGTAGGGGGAGGGAAAGGAAGAAAGTCCAAACACGGGACTCTCTGTGAAAGGCTCTCTGTGAGTGCGGCAGGCGGAAGGCAGAGGAAAAGGGGGGATAGGAGAGGAATGGGGACATGAGACTCTCAGCCAGCCTCAGGAAGAGAGTCTAAGGAAGAGGCGGTGAGGATACGAAAGTATGCGCGTGGACGCAATCAGATTTGGGGAGCTGTTACTGGGACCATGCAGGCAGGCCTCTACTTAGAATCCTCAAATGAACGGCGGTGAGGAAATGAATGCGACGCGACTGGACGCAGGCAGGACAGGGAGGGAGAAAGTGCGGAGGAGGGTGGGTAGGCGAGGCGTGACACGAGCAGGGGAAGGGACGGGCGAGGATGAGGGGGGAGGCAGTACCGCAGCAGCAGCGGCAGCGAGAGCGTCCCGAGAGTGAACACGCCCAGAGCGGCCGCCACCGCGAGATTGCGCTGTCGGCGGGCCGCCGCGCCCGCCATTCGCGAGCGAAGATCCGCTACAACGAGATTCGCGAACGAATCGCTGCTTGGCCGTGAAGGGGTTTTTGTGGTGTGCTTTCGGCCAGCCGCCTATTCCAGCATTCGCCTACAGCCCCTCGCCTCGCCCCCCTCCCTTTCAAGCCCTCCTCTGCCTCGGCAGCTGGTTATTAAAAGCCACGCTGACTCACGATTCGGTTCCCCACGCCGCCGATTACTACCGCTCGTCGCGTGATCGCGTGATCGCCTTGTCGCCTTGCTCGCCCGATCGACCCCGTAGACTCGTCGCTAAGGCTAGTTGCTTGATAACCTTATCGCATCGCTAGAAAACGGTTCGTCAACTCCACGTTCACCCGTCGTTGCGGTTCGCAGATTATGGGCAAGACCGCGTCGTTACTAAGAATCATGTCTGACGGCGTCTTGCACAAACGCGGAAAGAATATTCGGAAGTCGACGACGATGGGGGAGGTAACCTTGGGAGAACAGCGCAAGGAGTGGGAGTGGCGAGGCTGTAGGTTTCGTCCTCAGGACGCGTTACAAGTGAAACGATCCCAGGATCACTTCGTATTCACGAGCTTGAAGTCGCATGTCAGACACTAGGGGTTTCGCGCGAAGTGCCTTGTAAAAAGGGCAGTCAAAGCCATCGTGATACAATCTCGTAACACAACTGGCTTTTTTTGTAATTGCAGTATACATTGAAAAGAAAATGTACACAGGCAATAGCAATCGCTTGAGGGCAGGTGTAACGAATATCCTGTTTGTTACGATACGAAGTTTTATGAGAAGGCATTCCTGTATGCTGCAGGAGCCGACTCTACCGAATAAGAAGTCGAGGAGTCAGAAGAATCGAAGCGACACAGCAACCGTCTGACCAAGGGCGATGCGGAAAGAAGCATTTGAAATGAAAAGAGCGGAAAAAGGTTTTGAAACCGATTCCCGCGCCGCACGGTTTTGAATTCCGCTGCAATAAGGGAATGTACCTCATAGAGTACATGATTAGTCTAAGTCGTTTCGCATTCCTTTGTATTCCTATATAAACCCAATGTATGCATGCTATTATCAATCTCAGTCATTTACATTCACTCTGACCTGAGTTCAATACTTCCGCTGCAACACTACTTGCGATCAACCATGAATGATCCTCCTCTATAAGTCCCACATCAGATTCTAACATGGTATGAGAGCTACTCAGGGATTCTTCGCAACGCCACTTCCGTAAAATTCGCCGAACCTAAATCTGGCGAGCGGCACACGCTCCAAGACCTGTCAGAATGTGATGTTTGTCTAACCTGCTGTGGGATACTCTATAGCGAGTACTGTCAAAATACCAGGCTAAGATCAGAAACAAAAAAGAGGGTTTTCACTAGCAGGCAGTTGAGTACATATAGCAAATTCTAGTTCGGGCTATACTCGCTATAGAGTACCCCACTGCAGGCTAGACAAATATCACATTCTGACACACCCCTGTCAAAATAGTGGCATAAGTAGGGACTATGTTTAAGTTGTCAAATTATATATGTGATCTATATGTGTAGGCTGTAGTGGGGTAGCCAATATGGGGTACAACCCCATTAGGGTTTCATATTTGTACCAAACTCTGATCTAGTCATTTCATTCCTGTCTCTAGATTTCAACATGGTATCAGAGCAGGAGGTCCCTAGGACCTCAGGATCGATTTTTTTTAAGGCCCCGCGCGCGCCCTGCCCTAGCCCGTCGCGCTGCCCCGCAGCCCCGCGCGCCGCCCGTTCCGCTGCCCCGCAGCCCCGCGCGCGCCTTGCCGGTCCGTCTCGCCGCCAGCCCGCCCGCGCGCAGCCCGTCCCGCCGCCCGAACGGCCCGTGCAGCCCGTCGCGCTGCCACGCACCGCCCGTGCGCGGCCCGTCCTGCCGCCCGCACGGCCCGCGCAGCCCGTCCCACCGCCCGCACGGCCCGTGCAGCCCGTCGCGCTGCAAGCACCGCCCGCGCGCAGCCCATCCCGCCGCCCGCACGGCCCGCGCAGCCCACACCGAGCCACGCCCGTCCGCGCGCGGCCCATCCCACCGCCCGCACGGCCCGTGCAGCCCGTCCCGCCGCCCACACGGCCCCCGCAGCCCGCATCGAGCCGCGCACCGCTCGCGCAGCCCGTGCACCGCTGCACCCTGCCCGCCTAAAGCCTGCCTGCCTGCCTCGCGCCTGCCTACTTGCCTTGCGCCTGCCTGCCTGACTGGCGCCTGCCTGCCTGCCCTTCGCCTGCCTGCCTGCCGTGTGCCTACGCTGCTACAATGGCGACCTTGAACGTCCTTGCTTTTGACCCTGAGGGTCGCCCGATAGAATTTTCCACCTGGCTTGAAGACCTGCAGCTTTTCCTTATGACAGATGCCAAAGACGGCATTTCCCTTTTCGATCACGCTACTGGCACTGCCGCTGCTCCTGCTGACAGTGCTCCTGCTCTTGACCGCTCACAGTGGCAGACTCGCGATGCTGCTGCGCGCCTCGCTATCCGCAACCACCTGCCGATCACTGAGCGCGCGCATTTTAGTCAGCACAAGACTGCTAAGGCGCTGTATGACGCTGTAGTTGCACGCTACTCCTCCCCAGCCACTGCCGCTGTAGGACGTCTCATCCTGCCGTACCTATTCCCCGACCTGTCCTCCTTTC